CAAGAGTTTGAGGCTGCTATGAGCTAAGAAGCCACATCACTCTATCAAGGACAACAAAGTGAAACTCTGTCTCAAACATAAATAAATAAATAAATGAATAAAACACCATCCCTGCTTTTCTTCCGCTGCCCAGCATTTTCACTCATTTCTCTTCGTGCCATGACCCCTCATGCTCTCTCTTCTCTCACTCTCTGGAAAGTAAACTTTATACTTCTTTCTATCCAATCACTGTGTGAGAATCCTAACTGGATTATCCACCCTAACACCTCTCACCTGAGACTCCCGAGTAGCTGGGATTACAGGGGTTAGCCACCAGGCCCAGCCAACTTTATTCTTTTTAATGAAAATATTCTAGTGTTATTGTGGAAAAAAGGAATAAAACAGACCCTATGGGTGTATCCCTAAAAGCCCTCCATTCTCACTTATTTCCCTCAATTGCATTCCCTTGAAGTGACCACCATCTAGCAGTCAGCATACATCCTTCCAGACATTTCTATCCTGCCATTGCACAGACAAGCAGTGATTGCCTACAATGGTCTGGCCAGTGTGTTAGGTGCTGGGGACCAGTGGTGAATAAACACAAAGCTATGTACATACTGTGTATCTGTCTCATATACTGGCTACTTTTCCATGATTGTTCATAGAAATACATACATAAAAATTTATGATTTTTCTTAGCTGTATCATATTCTTTTACCAGCATATACACATACCAAGCTATATATAACCTGCATATGCTATTTTTAAAATAAGCCATAATTTCCCGGCTTATAAAACATAGAATAACCTGCTTCCCATGTCCTGCTTGGAGAGAACCTGGCCCTATCTGGACAGGGAGCCTCTCGGGCTATCCCCTGCAAGAAGGCAGAGAGATACCAGCTGAGCCGGCCAACCCTGTGACCTCTTCAACAATCAGACAAGTCCAGCACCCGGAGCACAGTGAGCCGGCCCCGGACTTCCAGCTGGCCAGTGGCATGGCTGAGTTCATACTCAGGTCTTTCTGACTGCAAAGCTCCCCCTGACACAGCTGCCATCATCCTCTGCTGCCCCGAAAGGCAACCGTTTTTACATATGCACACGCGCAGCTGCGGTGTCACCCTGCCTAGTGCATCTCCTCCATGCAGTAAATTCTGTGGGTTACTGATTAAACAATGGGAAGAGAGAGGGAGGAAAGAAACGGGAGGTTATGGATAATGCAGCCAGAGGAGGATCATGTGTGTGTCTTAAAATCAGCTACTTTTTCAAGTCTGACAAGGGTGACTGTGTGTGCTTGTGCATGTGTGTGCATGTATGTACCCATCAGTGCAGGAGCGTGGGCAGTGAGTCCCCCTCCATGGTCACCGGCAGCAAATTTTCAAGCAGTTAGAGGAGATAGAAAGAAGCTGTTGCTTTATGTTCCTCCCTTTATCTGTGAGTCTCCTCCTTTGGAGGTGCTAGTGAATAAGGATCTTCATGCTCAAGTTCAAAGCCCTTCCCTGAGACAGCCTCTCAGGTGAGCGCACAGAGATCGCACAGAGACAACACAGAGGCCGGGACATTCCTCTGCAGCTTCCTAGCTGGGTGGTGAAAACAGAAATGCCGCCTAATTCGTCACTGGCCCTTTCTAGTGAATGAAGGAGGTTTCTGTTTTAAGAAATAAAGTGACTTAGCCGTTGATTCACTGCCCACAGGAAGATTCTGAGCGGAGGCTTCCTAGCCTCTGTAGAAATTTGCATACAGCTTCCACTTCCTGCTTCGGAGCCTGTTCTACTACTTACCTGGGCCTGGAGAGGGAGGCTGAGAACCACCCCAGGTGGAGGGACGCGCCAGCCGACCACCCCGAGGCCCGGTCTGTCTGTCCTTGGTGGGTCTAAGGTAAGGTGCTCAGAGTTGCCACCTGCCTAGCCTTATTTCTTAACCTCTGACCTATTTTCCAAAACATTCTATGTTTCCTTTACTGAAATGTTCTGTTTTTTCTTTCCCCATTTTTCACTTGCTCGCACAGAGACCAGCTTGGGCTGAGAAAATGACAGTTACGTTTCTCCTGCAAGAGCGTGTTGGGGGTTTAGTATTTCAGGCAGGCAGGCCGAGCCCAGGTTAACTCTTTGAGGACAGGAGGCTCCATGCACTGGTACAGTCGGAGCTGCCTGGGAACCGTTCATTTGGGTATTTAGTGTCCCCACACGTTTCGATCAAGAATTCAAGCCCCACTTTGAGGAGGGAGCCAGGGATGGCAAGGATTAAGTAATTGGCTTCCAGCCCCCAAAACACGTCAGTGGCAGAGTGGGAAGGAGAACTTCCAAGTTTTCCCAATCCCTGTTTCCGTGCAGGCAAAATAAAAAAAAAAAAAAATTAACACCATATTCTTGGGCCAGGAAGTTCTGCTGAGCTCTGTGCTGGCTGTGAGCTGCCTCCCCCCACCCCCCCCACCCCCACAGTCCTCATCCCTCCCAAGCAACCCTGACATTTGCTGGCGTTGGACAGTGTCTTCGGGGAAAACAAGAGGAGAAATGCTAGTATTTGATTTTAGAAGCTCATCAAGCTTCTTGTGACTTTCAATTTCAAAATGGTCTCTTAGCTACAATAGGGAGTTTTTTTTTTTAAAGAACAGAAGAAAAAGAGGCTAATAAATAATTTTTTTAAAGGACAAGAAACTTGGTTTCAAGTTGCTCCACTTTTTGTGGTTTTGTGACTTAGGCAATTCACTTTGGCTCCTCAGGCCTGGATTTCTTCATCAGTAAAGTGCATGTGTTGGGGAGCAGGAGGAGACTAACATGATTACGTCTAAATTACCTTCTAGCAAAATACGGCCAGGGTAGTCCCAGAGGGTAGCCGTAATGGGTGGTCTTGGAAGACTTGTTTTGTTGACTGATTATTCACATAGAATAATTTTACCTCCCACTGCCAGTTGGTTAGCCCGTCAAGGAAGAGGACTTTGTTTCTTAATAGTTCTCTATCCTCTAGAACCCAGCAAACTACCAAAACCTCATAGGTGCTCAGGCTCCTCTCGCATAAGCTGCTTTGATTTCTGTTTCACTCATCTGCTCTCAAGGCAAAAGATGAAGCCCCACTCAGAGCAAGAGGCAGAAAAACCTGGGAAAAGCCTGGGAGCACATGGCGCTGCGGGAGGGTTGCCCGGAATCCTAGTGTTATGATTGGCTGCAACCAAATAGTAGAAAACCGGGAATTTCTTGAGTTAGTTCATGTCCCATTTGGGTTACCCAGGAAGAATCATCCTGTGCATTGCCCACAGTATCAAGGCAGGCCAAAGAATTGGCAGACAAGCCAGGCTCCTGAAGCCAAGAGTTACTGACTTAGCTGGAGCTGGAAACTCCTCCACCAGTCACTGTGTGGGGGGCCTTTGATGGGAGGAGAAAGGAAACTGTGAAACACATCCTAGTACCATCTAAGGGTGATGACTACGATTAGCACACACATTATTAGATGGCGGATACACAGAATCCTTAACCTTTTCCAAACCACTACTTTTTGGTTTTGTTATTGTTTGGGAGGGGGCATTTACAATCAATACAGTTCAGACAGGCTCTGGCTGGCTGATACAGGCTGATTGGCACTGCTGAACTGTGAGATATTAAGGTCCTGGTGTAGTGCTTTGTCATGTTTTTAGGTGTTTCTATTTCCTTGAGATGAGAGGACAGGAGTTTCAAGATGTTTCACCTGCAATGAGTTCCTGATTGTATTTTCAAATAACAATGCACCCTTTTCTGAAATCAAGCTAATTGTTGTCCAGATGCCATTGTAGCTTTGATCCTTAAAGGCCACACTATAGTCATTCTTAGTCTGGAGCTGCAGGTACACGCATAGAGCATCAAGAGATGGATAACGTGGTTATCTGCTCTGTTCACTGCATGGGGTGGACTAAGTAGGAATGAAGTCAGAGCAATGCAGCAAGATTTCGGAGAGAAAGGCTCTGAACTCAGGGATACTCATTTTTGGAGGATATAAAGACAGAAAATGAGCCTGCTTCTCCCAGGATTAAGGAGTTAGCAACTTTCAAATGTTCTGAAAATAAATAGAAGAGGAAAAGACAGTCGTTATTTGCAGGCATCCTGTAACAGGCATTCAGAAAGATAGATTATGGTGGGGTGGTTTGTCTAAATTAAATCTATGTTTTACACATCACAAAATGGAAATCTCAGAAATATCCTGAATTCAAATCATTTTTCTGCTGCAGGCAATTTTAGATTAGCCTTTAAAAACATGTGTGACTTGCAGGCCACTGCTGCAGGAAAAGAAGGGAGTACAGATGAGGCACATTCAACTCAAATCCTTTCAGATCCGTGAAATGACCCCTAACGTTTGATCTCATTTCCTTATCAAAACAATCCTGTGGTCCTTCTGTGAGATAGCATCTGAGGATCGGAATCATGACGGTGTCCCCCCAGCCTCTCCTGCTTCTTCCCAATGCATTGTAACACCAAGATACCTTCAGTTCTTGAAACCCAGTTCTTGAAACCTTTCTCCCATCCACTTCCTTTGCCTCTTGTATCCAGCAGGGCTCCCAGGAGCCCACGTGTGCTGGCAGCTGACCGCTCAGCTGGCTGTGGCCATGTGTGCACTTGGATGTGTGCAGTGACCTTCCCAGATACCAGAGCTGAGGAAGGGCGGGCTTCCATCCACACTGTGGTCCTGTGAGCTGTGCCAGTTTGGCTTGGTTCCCTGGGAAGGCAGCTGAAATCAAGCTATTTTGGAGCCTCCAGCCCATGTGCTGCCCCCAAATTCCACTCCGCAGACCCAGGCTGCCTGGGGTCTTGGCAGCTCTCTCAGCAATGGGGGGTACTCAGCTCCTATCTGCCTCACTGTTTCCCTGTGCTCAGGGCTCTGCTGTTTTTTCTTTTTCCTTCTCCCAGGGTCATCCCCAGGGTCTCCCTGTCATCTCTGACTTCCTTCCTATTCTAAGTTGTCTGCCCAAACTCTTCCTGGCCACCCGGCTTACCCGTAAGACTCTTACCTTTTACCTGTATTCTTTATCTTCCTTCCAACTGCCCCTTCTTCTACCCAGCGATACCTACAAATTACAATTTAAATAAGTCTCTCTCTCCTCCCTAATAAAGGGCAGATAAAAGGAACTTCCTTCAAGGTTGTCCCACTTAATGTTTCTCCTATTCTGTCTTCCTTTTCATCCTTTCCTCTTCCTGTCCCCCTTTTTCCTTTCTACCCTCTTCCTCTCCTTCACTCTGTGACCTGGATTGAATTAGGGATGACAGATGTGTGCTGAGAGAAACCATCTTATCTGAAAAACAAAACAAAAACCAAAACGATGACGACAAAAACAATCAACAAAAATCATGGCCTGGTTTGAGGTTGTTCTCTTAAATGTTTATTACAATTTCCAACGTGGTGGAGTCAGTGTGTCCCATTAGTCCATGTCCTCCTCGGTTTAGTCACTTGGAGGAATTCCACGCTGCGCTGCCTTCAGCCTGATGTGACTCTTACCATGCAGGGTTATGGCCCAGAGCCAGGCAACGTTCCCCTGTCTCCAGGGCTCACCACTGTTTCAAATCCTCTGGCAAACTTAGTGGAAGAACTTCTCTGGGAAATTCTGCGAGTATACTTGGAAGTGTTTGTTCCCTGGACTTTGAACCTGGGCCAAACAGTTTACTCAAAACCAACCTTTCCCTAAGCAAACCGATGGTATGAAAGTTAGCATGCGTGTGGGCAGTAAACAAAGAACATTAATGAGTTCAAAGATTTTTCAAATCCAGGACTTTTAGACACTTATAAAAAAATTACTCTTGGGGGAATGAAGTAAAACCTTGAGAATCTGTAAGTGAAAGTATGTGATCTAAATCGGATCTGAGGATTTTCCCAACTGTAAAATATATGCGTGCGTGTGTGTGTGTGTGTGTGTGTGTGTGTATAAAATGCCCCCTTCATCTATTCATGCTGTGTGTCCGGGACTCTTCAACCCTGTTTGTGACCGCAAAGAAACCTTTAAAAAAAAATCCAAGCAGTTCCTGAACACCAGGCCCTGATTATTTGAGAGCTGCTAATGTGGCTTATTAATTACTCAGGCTGCTCACTCCTGCCCTTCCTCTGGCCCCTGCGATGCTATTTGTCTTCTTCCAGGGACATACACCTTCATTAAGTCCCATCCGTCCTTGCCTCAGAGTCACCCCCTGGAAGATAGCCCTTCTCTAGATGCATCACCATTTATCATCACCCTTTGTTTGTGCTCTGTCAACCAGTTTTCAATTTAGTATGAATTCAGTTTATGATTAAAATTTAATGAGATCCAATCAAGTGCTTTTCTCAAATCAAGATGCCTCTGCAGTCTCCTCCATATCCTCTATTGTAACGGCATGAGGAAAGCCACCATGGGTTTCCAACCTGGCAATCTTTTATAGAATACAGGTGGCGTGTTTCCTTGCCTCCTTAGCCTCAAGGTGAATGGCTTAAAAACATATTTATTCTGGAAGTTTTAAGGGTCATGTAACTTTCCCATCCCCTTTTCCTTCCCAAACAGCTATACCTGCCAGAGCTCCGAACCCAGATACAAGCAGTTAAGTACACAGGCTCCGGGACTGACCTGCTTAGGTTTGAATCCCAGCTCTGCCACTTACTGGCCATGTGACAATGTAACTTAACTCTCCAGCTGTAAAATGAGGCTGACTGACAAGGGTGCCTGTCAAGTAGGGTGGCTATGAAGATTAAGTAAGTTAATACATACACAGCTCTTAGAACAGCGTTTCCCACATAGTAACCATTCAATAAATATTAACAGGGATTCTAATAAGGAGGTTTTTAAAGTATATCCATTTCAGTAGGTTTGTTTTGTGATTTGTCAATGTAATCTACATCAGCAGTGAACTACAACCGTCAGGTCAAAGGTAGCTCATGACCTGTTTCTGCAC